GTGAATTTTTGGTAAAAATAAAAATAAAAATACTTTCCGAGAAAATATATACAAATAAATATATATTTACATAGATATATATTTATGTGTATATAAATATAATTTATTTATTTGAAAGTTATTATTAGAAAATTATAATAGTTTAGTGGTTAGAGTAATAGTTTTCAATTCTAAAATCCTGTCAGTGACAATTTTCAAATTTAAATGAATTTTTTGGTAAAAAAAAAAAAAGACTTTCCACGTCGGTTCATATGGGAACCGAGCGTGGAAAGTGTCAATAAGTGAAAAAAAAAGACTTTCCACATCGGTTCATATGAGAACCGACGTGGAAAGTACTTCTACGTCGGTTGATTTGGGAACCGACGTGTAAAGTACTTTCTACGTCGATTGATCTGAGAACCGACGTGAAAAATACTTTGTACATCGTCTCAGCTATAACTAACGTTAAATGATGACGTAAAAAATATATTTTGTAGTAATGTCGGTTCTGCTAATACAAACACATTTTCAATATTCCATTAAAGTGAAAATTGTTCTAACAATGGATTGATATTCAACCAAACCAAACGTACAAACACACTTTTAATATATAAAGTAATGCAATAATTTTATAATTATGCTTACTTATAAAATATATAATTATGCTTACTTATAAAATATTTATGAGGAAACTAATATTCACAAGAGAACAATGAATAATAAAAGAAACAACATTTTGCTTCTAATGAAAATATTCTAAATAGAGAAACTTCATATTCAGGAATTATAAGTATATAAGTTAGATAATTTGCTCCAAAATTTTATTTGCTTTGATAGAGTACATAAAAAAGGGATAAGCTTTGGGGTTATTGATAGAGTGTCCATCAAGTAGAATCCAAGTTACTATTTTTATTCTTTTAGTGATTAATGACAACTTGGTTCGGATAAAGATGGCCATTTTCTTTTCCTTTCATCACATGAAGGTCATCACTTCATGCAACAGGTTCATGATGGCTATGAAATTGACTTCGCTTTTTCGTCTTTTTCATTATTGTTTTCTTTTCATTTCCAACGTGGAAATTACTCTGTCCACGTAATCATGACGTGGAAACTGTCTCAGTACTTATCCTTCTACCCATCCTTCAACACATTCAAGGGGCGCACGCTATTATTTCACAAATACAAACAAGAAAACGACAAAATAACAACATTATTTTTAGCAAAACAACGTCATTACTAGGCTAATTAATAACAAATTTAGGTTGTTGTTTTACATTAAATATATGCAAAAACCATCCAAATGAGACTCTCCCAAGTAAAATTTATAATCCATATATTTTGCATTTCTTTTTATTCGTAAGATCATGCTTAATACAAATTTAGCTATAACGTTCTCGTCATTTAAAATCATATACTATATATCCTGACTAATTGGTTCCTGTTTCTTTCTGTCATGTTCTCTAACCCTAATTTTATTTTGTTTTCTAAAATCCCATCATTGTTTCAGGAAGAAGTATCGATGGTTATGAAACCCTTTTTGAATTTTGAGTTGAAAAGTAAAACACAGTTGCTTATACGGTTTGTTCTACTCGGTTACTAGGTTTTTCATACGAATTCATGAACACAATGAGTAGACGAGTTCATAATAACAAAAAATATGTTTTCAAATATTTAATATTATGATAATTATATGTATTTCATTATTTCGATTTCATATTAATTTATTTAATTATTATTCATTTTAAATTTGAACCCATCACAATTTTATTTTAAAAAAATTTTAGTCATTTAAATCAGAATAAAATGCTCGATTCGTGAACAATCTCATATTCATAAACGTATAATATTAATTAAAAAATATTTAAAGCTAAAAATAAATTATTTAATGGTGTATATTATAAAGATCAGCGTCGAAGCAATTATAGAAGTGGATAATCATAAATCGGTCACGAAAGCCGTAACAATCAATGAACAGAGCAGAGCACGTGAGAGGCTCTCTTTTTGAAACCGACGGCTCTTACACAGTTTCAGTTTGAATTTAGACATATGAATTATTAATCATTCATTGGTTGTTATTATTACATTTATTTCGATACCAGTAATGTACTTTCTTTTAACATTATCTTCTTTTAGCTTTTTAATTTTTGAACCACACATGTTAAATGTATTACATATGAAAAGGATTTTGTGAGAATTTTTATTATTGTTTAATTATATTTTTATTTATTTAGTTTAAATGTTATAGTATATATTTTCAAATAATAAATTAAATTGTATGTAATGTTTTAAAGATACAATATCATAAAATGTTCTTCCACTGCACCTGTTTTTACTTTCACAGTCCTTAGTAATTAATATTAAAAAACTTCATTCACTTGGCAATATAAAACATAAACTCTGTGTGGCACGAAGAAAAAGAAAATTGTGTGGCTTTTTTTGTAATTATACACTATGTTATGTATTGTGATAAATTCTTATTTTTAACCATTCTTGACGAGATACTTAATTTTTCAACTGATATATATCAAGTATTTTGAAAGTAAAATAGATTAGAAAATGTTTCATGCATCACTAAAATCAAGTTAATTAACCTAATATATTATATCTCCAGATTTATACCAAAGACAATTGTTACTTGTATCTTCATTTTGAGGGAAATTAAATAAGTTTATGTAGAAAAAATTATGAACAAATATTTTATTTATTTATAAAGAAGTAGATATGTTGTATATTTTTTTTAATGCCAGATTCTATTAATATCTTATAAATAAATTAAGATATTAAGTGGTGAAATATTGATATTAGGTTTTAAAAGTGTATATGTATAGAAATTTTATATTATATATGAAAATAACAATAATTATATTATTATCATTATAATTTAATTAGTTAATTATTAGATAATAAAAGTATATTAGTAAAAAAATATTAAGATGTTTAAATAAAATATTAATTGTTTAAAATAAATTTTAATATTATAAATTATAAGCTGATTAATTTTTTTTAAATTAGAAAAAATATATAAAAATAAATAAAATAAAATAAAAAATATTTATTTTAAACATTTATTAAAATAATATTAGCAAGAAATTACTTAAAAATATGTACCATAATAAATATATATTTTATATTTTTTAAAACGAATTATTTAGATGGTTGATATATTGAAAACCTTATTTTCAATCAACATCCTTAAATAATAATATAATAATAAATATTATTTTTTATATTAATATATTTCATTGCTAAATGGATGTTTTTAAAATACATGGATGCGAAAACATACTTTTTCTTAAAAATATACTATAAAAATTATTTATTGTGTATATAGTTTTTTTCTAAATTGTTTGAGTAATACAAACATATATATTACTTAATCTAAGAAATATTTCTTAAATATTATATACTATTTTAGTAACATTTTTAAAATTGTTATAATTTATTAACTTTTATCTCTTATTATCAATTATTTTAATTATAGTTTTTAAAAATAGCACTTTATATTACAATATAAGTTTTATCATAAATTTTAAATACAGTTTATAAGTTAAAAATGATTTATTGATTAAAAAATCAATTATAATATAATTTATATATTCAGAAGTATTTAAGTTTACATATTCTGTAATTAAATTTGAAGTGGTGAAAAATTTGAAAGAAATAAAAGATTACAAATAAAACAAAATATGAAGGTAAGAAAAGGTGTGTCAATGAAATAAACTCTTAAAAAACAGTTAATAATAAAAAAGAATTTATAATATAAAATGAAGTCTATTGCAAAGGAAAACTAATAATTAAAAGATAGTTATAATTGTGACAACAATATCCAGACTAGGATAATTTATTTTATTGTATTTATTGAAAGAATATATGCCAATTTGAAGAAATCAGTGACTCTGCTCCTACAAAGCAGATAAAAAGGTTGGAATCAAATTACCTTTTCTTCATCGTTGGAATAATTTCCAACACATTCACACACCATTAAAGGGAAACATATATTTCATTTTGTTAATTTGTAATACTAATTTAATGATATGTAATAAATTATAAGCGATTTGATGTTTTCTTAGTTAAAATTGGCAAATATTAATATTAAAACTGATAAAATGATCAATTTAATAAAAAAATGATATATAAATAAGATAAAATTAAAATCTAAAATATAAACACGACATTATTTTCTTGATAAATAAGAAGATTTGCTTTTGAGAAACCATGTGTGTTCAACAGAGTTATCTGGCTTGAAGACGACAGAATTAATATAAATAACAACTTTTTATAAAATATCTATTTCAGTTTCATATTTAAAAATATAACTTTCAGTTCAGAATTTAAGATTAAATTACAATAATCTTAAATTCTAATTTTTTAGAAAATGAAAGCAAAGCAGAGTGCACGTGCCAAAGAGAGCGCGTGGAAAGATACACTGGCATTCTGAAAAACTTTACAGAGTAGATAGATAGATATATATGACTTGACTTCATTCTCTCACACCCTTTTATTTTCTTTTCGTTTATAGGAAGAGAGAGGAAATAGAACTGTGAGAAACAGAAGAAAGAGATTCAGACAACCTCTTAGCTTCGTCATTGTACCTTTCCAAGTTTGCCTTTGCCTTTTACCTTGTTCCCAGCTCCTTCTTTTACGAAGGTTAGGGTTTTACGCAAGTTTCAACTACTTAACAATAATTATCAGTTTATTATAATTATGCGCCAAATTTCCCTTTTTGATGCAATGCCTTGTGTGTGCTTACGTTCCCTTCCTTTTCGTCAATCGTACACGCCAAGTTTGTTTCTCTTCAGCACTCCTCCAACAATTGTAACTGCTTCTTTTTAGCACAATCTCAAAACAATTTCTCTGCATTTGCCAACCTTGTTTAGCTCTTCACTATTTTTTTTTAGTAGTGAGTTCATTTTCGTTTCATTATTTTATTTTATTTATTTTCCACCATGTTTGATGTTTGATATCAAAGCGTGCATTTTTTTTTTTTAATCCTGGGTGTGTTTTACTTATTTATGGTGTAAATGGAATCATGGAGTGTGGACTTTTTTCGTAGGTTTGATTTTTGGATTTTTCCAGCTGGTGATGATAGCTTCAAGGGAGTTGACCTGGTTCTTCTTCAGTTAGAGGATGCTTCTGTGATTGGGTTCACTGAGAAGAGTGTGCTGAAGATTAAGGCCGTGGTGGGGTCAATGGGTTGGAAGAGATCTACTTTGGAGTGCCAGAGACTAAAGATCTGTGAACAAGTTCTGTTGGGATTTTTGTTGATCTGCACAATTCACACTTCAAATGCAGTCACTGATCCAACTGATGGTAAGGATTCTTACTCTTTTGGCATCTTGAGCTTTGGCATTTTGCGTGGTCTCCCTAGTCAATGACTGAAGGTTATGTGGTCACACTGGTATAATGGTCAGCTGCTAGTGCAGCCTTCTAGGTCTTCTTTTATTTTTAATATTGTGTGTGTTTCTCAATGGTGGTTAAGTTCTATTTTCTTCTCTGGTATCTGTTGGCAATAAAATTGCGTTTCATGTTTTCGAACATGATGCTTTCGGGTTGATATCCTTCTTCTCCTTTAAAACTTAAGTCTATAGTTAATTGCTATATTTATATGCCTCTGATTTAATGTTTAACAATTAAAATTATAATTTTCTATTCACTTTCTTTTTAATTGTTCTGTTAGTCATTAAATGAGCTGAATGGTGAAATGTGATTCATGCAGCTGACCTCACCTAGTAGGAAAATACTTCTGTATTTTGTTTAATTATTCTGTTACAGAATGCTGATTGTGCTATAATACAATGTTCTGCCTTTTACTTTGATTGTGTGGAGGGTTATTAATTGTGTGGCTGTGAGCTAGAACAAAAGAATTATTTACCGCATTGACTAATTCTTGATTTGTTATGATCTGAAGTCTATAGGAATTCTAAAGTTTTCTGATTGTATCAGTTGCTGCGATTAATAGCTTTTATATTGCTCTGGGATCCCCTGCTCTTCCTGGATGGGTTGCTAGTGGAGGAGATCCATGTGGAGAAGGGTGGCAAGGCATTCTGTGTAATGGGTCATTCATACAAAAAATGTATGTTATATTGTTATCCCTTTGGCTTACTCTTCATATTGATTAACATATCTCAAAATAGATGATCATGAGTTTTTTTAACCATCTTATTTATGACAGAGTTCTAAATGGTGCAAATTTGGGAGGAGAGCTAGGAAATAAACTGTCAACTTTTGTTTCAATCTCAGTAATGTAAACATGACTCCCTCTCTCTCTGCATGTATCTGTGTGTGTACATGCACATATGCATGAACATATACATGTTTGTGCATCTTTTGCATTTTTCTCAGTTCATGAATTTCAGTGGTCATTCTTTTTGTAATTTCTTCTGCATCATCTTTACTGTTTGCCATGTATTTTGGAGGTAGTGATCTAAGCAACAACAACATTGGAGGAAATATTCCATCCAGTTTGCCAGTTACCATGAAAAACTTGTATGTAATAATCTAACTCTGATAGTAGCTACTCCCCACAATTTGTGCAAAAAGACATGATAGATTGTATTTGCAGTTTTCTTTCAGACAACCAGTTTACAGGAAGTATTCCAACCTCTTTATCCACTTTGACTGGGCTGACTGACATGTGAGTTTGTTGCTTCTCCTATTTTATATTAAATTTTATGCAAATTCATCCAAATTATATTGAATTATCTCCTTTCAGGTCTCTCAACAACAATTTTTTAACTGGAGAAATACCAGATGCTTTTCAGTCACTTACGCTATTGATCAATCTGTATGACTCATTTTAATTTAAATCATTTCGATGAAGATTCTTTACTTCTTTATACATTAGAATATTTGATGGAGGCATTATTTATTGTGCAGTGATCTATCTCATAATAATTTGAGTGGGGAATTGCCTTCTTCTATGGATAACTTGTCATCTATCACCACCTTGTTAGTATTTTGTCTTAGCAAGATCAAATTATGACATTATATTTTTTATATCATGCAAGCTCACTATTTCCTTTTGGCAGACGCTTAGAGAACAATCAACTCTCTGGGACACTTGATGTTTTGCAAGACCTTCCTCTTAAAGATTTGTACTTCTCTCAACCATGTTTCATGCTTTGTTAGTTTATAAAATTGTTTTAATTTTGGATTTGATAGCTTTTAGAATGTGTTTAGGATTAGATGCTATCTTTCTTTTGTTAGTACAACTTGTTTCTCAGTGAAATTTATGATTTGTCTGTCCTTTTTGAGCAGGAATGTTGAGAACAACCAGTTTTCTGGCCCAATACCTCCAAAGTTGCTAAGCATCCCAGCCTTCAGGTTAAAGTCTTGAAAAATCAAGGACTTTATATATTTTGCTTCATTATGCAAGGGGGGTGATACCATGAATTAGTAAATGAGAAATAAACATGGAAGTAGGGAGTCCAGATCGTCTTTTCTTGCAAATTCATTTGATTCTCTTATCAACGGGGTTTTTCAGTGTTGCAATTAAGCAAAAATAGGAATATGTAAGACTGAAAGAAAATAAATTAGATTTTGAGGTAAGGCTTTCTGCAAAATTTCCGAATAGCATCAACTATGTTAAATAACCAATTAGATGTTGTCTCAAGTTAAGTGGCCAGGAAAAATTAGTCTCAAGAGTCAAGGTTACGCACTATTTCCAATTTGTAATAGTCATTGTGCATTAGGTAAGATACACTTGTTTTGCCCCCAAATTGGTGATGAGGGTATTAACTTGTGTGGGGTTTAATGGTTGTGATTCTGGGCCAGTTAAATGACATAAGGTTTGAGTAGTTTAAGTTGTTCTGAAAATAATAGTTGGGAGTTAGCAATAAAAGGTCAATGGAAAGGCCAAAAGTGGTCATCAGACTATTATTGTTCTGCCAGCAATAGCAGGACTTTAGGTGAACTTTTGGGTTATATTATGGGGCTATGAGCTTAGCTGTGTTTTTTTATCTGGCTATCTTGTAGCTTGCTAGTTTTTCTTTAAATATCAAGAAAATTGAAGTGTTTGTTTCTTGTTTGAAAGTTATTCTATTGTTATTTATTGATTTCGGTCTCCTAAGAAACTGGAATGTGAAGTATATATAGTTGTTATTTTGTAGCTTTAGTTATTGAAGATGATTTTTGTTATGTAGGCAAGCTGGAAACCCATTTAATGTTAATGGTACAAGTCCCACATCTTCACCTCGCTCCCCAGCAATAGCACCACCAGGGACTCCGATTTCTGGGGCACCACCAGGAACTCCTGTATCTGGGACACCACCATCTACTGGCACACCTACTAAACAGGCTGATGGACCAACTGCAGCAAATGATTCCCACGCAGGGAAATCCAAAAAATCCACAAAAAGGGTGGTTTGGATATCTATTGCTAGTGTGTTGGGATTCATTATTTTGTTACTAGCATTCATTCTCTTTATTCCAAGATGTAGCAGAAGGGAACGTGATGACAGAAGGTTCAAGCGAGGTCAAATTGGTACATATGGGGCTGAAAGACAGAATTCCAGGGATAACGGGGCTTCACTCCAACCACCTAGTCAAATGGAAAAAGGTAATAAATATACCCGGTCCTTCATTAGATTTTTTATCTGACCTTTAATTTACTCATTTGCATGATTATCCAATTTAAATATTTAATTTTTAAACAATTTAATTTATTATAGCAGTACCAGTAGGGGATGTTCCAAGGCCAAAAGAGGGTCGTCAGGCAGAGTCCAGGACTGTCTGGGCTAATCCAACTCCACTGAGTGAGCAACAGAAGGATGTGCAAAGAATGGCAACGATACCAAAGCCAGGAGATCATGAGATAGATATTAGTACACTAGAAGTATATTCAATGCCTCCTCCCCCTCCACCACCACCTCCACCCCCGCCTCCACCTCCACCTCCTCCTCCTCCTCCTCCTACTACTACTACTGAGAAGGTAACTGTTGAACCAGCCACATCCGGCAGAGCAACTAATGTCACTCCACCCATAAGAAGCTCTGTTCCTCCTCCTACTTTTGCAAAATATTTTGCTATTGCATCCCTTCAACAGTATACAAACAGCTTTTCTCAAGAAAATCTTATAGGAGGAGGCATGCTGGGTAATGTGTATAGAGCAGAGCTTCCTAATGGCAAGGTAGGTTGTTGCTTATTAATTACATTGAATGTTATGTCTACATTGACTTCTATCACCCTTAAATAGCCAATAATGGCTACATTAATCTTATTGCTACTTTCTCTATTCTTTAGCAGTTTTTCAAATGTTCTTTTAGCTGAACAGATGATATTCATTGTCTTCTTATTTGTTCTTGTTTCAACATTTCAAGCCTGATGTCAAAATATAGTGTAGTATGAGATTTTTTTATTGGTGCTGTTTCTGGTTTGTTTTCTGATGGGTTATTCTTAATTGATAATGTTAATTTTACATATTTGGACTTTTTATTGTTTAAATCTTATACAAGAACTAGTCTTCCTCAAGGTGCAATTGCAGTATATGCATACATGGCTCCCACTTCTTTTTGCTTACACAATTTCTGCCTGCTACATCCCTGATCCTTGAACAACTTTAAACTTACAATATTTTGTGAAGTTGTTTCTTGGATGACATGGTAAAATAGTTTAGTTTTATCACTTGATTGGATTCATATTTGACACTTGCCTCTTTCTGTATAAATTGTTAGTTACTTGCTGTAAAGAAACTGGACAAGAGAGCCTCTGATCACCAGAAGGATGATGAATTTTTTGAATTGATAAATAGTATTGACAGAATACGCCATGCAAATGTTGTTGAGCTTGTTGGATACTGTTCAGAGCATGGTCAAAGGCTTCTTATATATGAGTACTGCAGCAATGGATCACTGTATGATGCACTCCACTCAGATGATGACTTCAAAAGAAGACTCTCATGGAATGCTCGAATTCGAATAGCACTTGGGGCAGCTAGAGCCTTAGAGTAAGTCAAGTAGCTATTATAGTCAAGAATTAAAATTACTCAAGCTTGTTATTTTAGCTTACAATGGATTTTACGTTTTTGTTAGCAGATTCTTGGTTGTCCTCCTTATATTTTTCAATTGTCCTCGATGAATTCATTTAAAGCTGAGTATTTTTATAAAAACTTGATCATTAACGAGATCACATGTTTGAACCTTACCAAAACTTTCTAGAGTATAAATTGGTCAAATTCATGCTTACCCTCAAATCTCAATGCTTCTCGATGTGGATCTTACTGTTATTCAAAATACATTATGATCTTGGTGCTGACCAAATGACCGTTTATCTATCTAAGAAATCTCATGTTCGGTCCCTATAGAGAGAGCTATAGGATTTTCTGGACAATAAGTGAAGCTTATGCAAAAACATAATAGTGGAAGTTGTGTGGTGGGAACATTTTTTTTTTTTTACTTCTAATATATTTTAAGATACAAACTTTGATGTTCTGAATCTAATACTCTTGTCCCTTAACAAGATATCTGCATGAGCTATGTCAGCCACCTGTAGTACATAGAAATTTGAAGTCTGCCAATATTCTGCTTGATGATGATTTATCCGTGCGGGTCTCAGACTGTGGTTTAGCTCCATTGATAGCTTCTGGATCAGTCAGTCAGGTAAGATAGTATTTGATTGTAATAGTTGTTTCAACATAACGAGGGACATGATAAAATTTTACTGGGTTAATGTTACTTCATTCTATATTGTAGGAAGATTTATTATAAAATAGCATATCATATTATCATTAAATAAGTATGTCAATGTAGTTTGCATTATAAGTCTGTTAATATCCTGTGCATTGTTAGCTCTCGGGGAACCTGCTAACTGCTTACGGCTATGGAGCTCCTGAATTTGAGTCTGGAATATACACATACCAAAGTGATGTATACAGCTTTGGAGTGATCATGTTAGAACTTTTGACTGGCCGTCAGTCCCACGACAGGTGACAATGGATGAAGTCATAAACAAAATATTTCAGTCATATGTTTAACTTTTTTGTCCAGTTAATTTATTATTTGTATCATCTTAAACAGGACACGTCCTCGGGGGGAGCAATTTCTGGTCAGATGGGCAGTTCCCCAACTTCATGACATTGATGCGTTATCAAGCATGGTCGATCCTTCTTTAAATGGAAATTACCCAGCAAAATCACTGTCAAATTTTGCAGACGTTATCTCTAGATGCCTTCAGGTGATCCTTTATCTATGTGAACTGAAATTCCAGTTATTATTAGCTTCTTTATTTAATCTTCATTTTTTGGAATTAATTTTTTGCCTTGAATGTATGTAATGCAGTCCGAGCCAGAATTTAGGCCAGCAATGTCCGAGGTTGTCCTGTACTTACTAAATATGATAAGGAGGGAGTCTCGGCAAAATGAATCAAATGAAAAATGAGGATGGTAGTGATATTTGTTTGTGAATTAATCATAATGTTCAGAGAGAATCACATGCTGAATATCAACTAGTAGAGATATCATGTCAGGGGAGCTCGATTAGTTGTCTCCATACTTCATTATTTCCTACTAACCTATTCAACATTCACAAGCCAAGTTCTTCCAAAAGTTTTTGTCCAATCAACGTAAGAAATTGATTCTAGTGATCAACACTTGTATCTGTAGCCGTATCATGTCTCATAATTCATAGTTGATTACACCATTGCCATCATAGTATTATCGAGGTGTGCTAACTAACCCATTTGTTTGATAATTGTTTCCAAATTCTTGATAGTGATGTAATTTCGTGATGGCATCCTTGTGGTTTTTAGGTGCATACTTCACAATAAAAGTTTGTTGATCATTTGTACCAAATCGCAGACAAGCATTTTTTATATTTATTCTTCTTTGTACACTACAAAATAATATCTATTTTTCTTTGTACTCTGCATTTGAAGCCTCTATTAATTCTTACAATCATTGTGTTTAGAGTGTGTTGAATATAAAGAAAATATTTATAATAGAGGTATACTTGAAAAAAGTAATTAAAAAATAATTTGAGTAAATAGTGTTGGTATGTTTGTGTGTAACTAAGAAGGTGATGAATTGGTTTTCAAATTTTTTTTTTAAAATTTTTATAAGATTTTACGGATTAACTAACAATTGTAAAGGAAAAAGAGAAGGGAAACAAGATTATACAGTAAGTCAACTGCTTCGGAATAAAAGATCTTATGATTAGTTCTTAATCATTTTAAAAAAGGATTAACATTATTACTATAATTACAGTTTTAAACAAATTATGAAAGATAAAAATAAGAAAACATATTTCTTAATCACACAAGAAATGAATATCTCTTTTGAATCCACAAAGAATGATAACAGTTTTTCTTAGAGACGACACAATCTACCAAAAAACTTATTCAAGTGATTCTTATCGTTTTTAACTCAGATTAGGTTATAAAAGCTTCTTTTTCTTCTTTACTCAAAGTACTCTCAGTAATCACATCTATAAACTTTATTACGAAAAAGATTGTACTTTACAGAGAGCAAGAGAGTTCCTTAAATAAATATTTTAGGCTTTAAAAATTAGGATTTTTGAAATTAGGTTTGGACTTTAAAATTCAAAATCATAATTGACACAAATAATCGATTATCATAAGTGATAATCGATTATTCTAGAGCCAAATTCGCAGAATACAAAATTTAGCTAGGATAATCGATTATCAACAGTGATAATCGATTATTTCAAAGACTTTCAAAGACTCAGAAGAATTAAGATAATCGATTACTGATAGTTATCACAGTGAGTTTTGGATAAAAACGAACTTTAAATGGACATACTGTGTGCTGGCTATTTTGGACGCTATTTTTACGAACACATAATGATAAAACAGAGTTATTACAAGTAGATACAACTATATATGAGTTTTCTAATCTTTTAAGTTCATTGACTCTAAAGCATCATCAAAATCTTCAGCCATCATATCCTTGTATATTCAACAATGTTCCCCTTTTTGATGATGATTAAAATATGCTTTAAAACTCTTTTTAATAACCTGTTTTTACTGTCACAACTAACATAAAAATATTAAATAGTGGCGGTGGTGGCGAGGGTCCCACAAAGGCTCTGGTAGCGAGGATGGTTTTGGCAGTGGTGGTGGTGGCAGTTGATAAAGTCGAAAAAATTTCAAAATAATCTTAAACTCTAGATACCATGTTGAATATAGAGAAAATAAGGTTTGAGATTAATCTTTCTTATGTATAAATCACACATAGGATAATCTATTTACAATAGAGAAGTACAACTAAAAAGGTAAGTAAAAAATTATTAGAATAAATAAAAGATATTATTTGATATTGTAATTAATAATATCTAATAATATTTTAACAATATCAAACAATATCTAAATAATATGTAACAGAGTGAATTATTATGTTGGTCTTTGAAAGCCTCTCTTCTTCCTAACTCTTATTCCAACCCCTGTGACAACCTTTGCCTCTCTTCATCAAAACCTTCAATTTTTCCGAAGAATTAACAAATAAAAAAAGTTCACCTCAAAGCAAGCAAAAGTCCAAATGGCTACATAAGTTAACGTACACATTAACACTTAATAAATAAAAGAATAGAAAAGAAGATACCATATATGTCTTATATATCACTTTTTTTTCCTTCTATGATGCAATGATCAAAGGATTTTTTATATTCTTGAATGTATAATAATCTTTCTTTGATCTTAAAAATATTGAAATTTTAAAATAACTCCCAAAAACATGATCACGTAGTTTAGCAAAGTTTCCAATTTCATATAAATAAAAATGCTTGGAATGACTTTGGCAGAATTAATTGAATACAAAAGTTTTTTTTTAAATATCTTTTATCTAAGTTTTCTCTTTTTTAAGTATATAATTTATACTATCTCTATCTCGTTTAGACGTAAATATATTTTATATTCATTTTTTAAGTATATAATTTATATTATTTTTCTCTGTTTAGATGCAAATATGCATTATCATTTCTTTTGAAGATCTTATGTATTAGAAAGTTTATGATTTCTGAACTATATCATATAGTTCTCTTTTCTTGTGAAATAACATAAATATTGAGTGAACGATATTGTCATAGTGGCTAAAGTTTGTTAAGTGAATTCATGTTGTTTGAATGAAAAGGAGGTTCTACCAAAAAAAAGTATTAAAGCTTAACTATTTTCTAGAAAGGGTACGATAATATAAATTATATATAGAAAATGAGTAGGAGAACCTTTCTTACATAGATAACCAAATACCACTTGGGTGTGGTCCCATATTGTTAAATAGGGTTGTCAAAATGGGCGGTTCAACCCAGCCTAGCTTGACTCTAATGACCAAGTAAAAAAAAATCTAATGGTCTAGCCTCGACTTATATTTTAAAATGGGTCAAAAAATTTTGTCTAGTCTAACCCTATGTTAGGTCAACGAGTTAACGAATCATTTTTTACCTAATTAAAAATAAAAAAATCTTTTTATTTATATAATTGATAACAAAAGGTAAACAAATAACATTACATTACTAAAGTTTGCATAATATAAAGATTATAAAAGATTGAATACTAATTTAAGTATATTAGAAACTCCAACTTAATAATAACCATGCAACCAATTACGAGTACAAATGAGCTTGCACATTTATTTAATTTCCAATTTTTAGTCACGTAACCTTGAGTCGTAGCCTTAAGTAATTATAATTGTTTATACATCAAAAGTCAAATATATTCTATCAGAAATATTAGATAATTCATCATTTAGTTTTTTCTTTTATATTAAATACACGTTATACTCAAGTAGTTATATTTGTTCATACATTAGAAGTTAAACATATTCTATCAGAAGTATTAGATATCCTTTGTTTTTTTTTTCTATGTTAAATACATGTTATAAACATTAGTAATTGTTTCTAGTAATTGGGTTAAATTTAGGATTCAAAACTTTATTTATCTCTTAACATAGATGAGTGTATGTATGAGTCAAATTTCCATAACAAGCTAGCCTTATTATGTAAGGTAAGGACCGCATCATGGACATACAATATATTTAGGAATATATCGTCTTAGATTATTGGTCCCTGAAATTCCTTATATAATTTTCACAATCTTTACATTTACATTTATTTACCCCTTCAACTAGACACTCTAAATTTTTTATTGGTTATCCCTCTTTATCTTCTTACTATTACTATGCACATCAGAACTATGACGATTACTATACGAGTTACTAGGAGCATGTTTTGTAGTATGAAATGAAGTTTTCATAATTTAAACAACAAGTGCTACAAGAATAAATAAATAAAAATTAAAATGTAATAAAAAAAACAAAATAACAAAAATTAAAATACTTATAAAGAATACATATGAAAACATACACAAAGACTCAAGGAGAGATATTAAAAGTGTGCACATGAGAAGAGGAATGTGAGAAGTTACAACAGACAATAGTATCAGGAAAGAAGATGACTAAAATAAATAAATTTTATGTTTAAGATTTATTATTATTTATATTATATATATATTGAAAGTGATGAAGATCTTATTGAAATACATTGGCAAAGATCTCATTGATTTGATGAAGTCAAAGATGAAGTCAAAAGTCAACTTTGCAGCGGTCAATAAGTCACTTTTATAAAAGAGTAGAAAGATTAGTGTGTCTACAAAAGGCTTAGGTAAAATCATTTTATCTTTTCTGCTGCATGAGGTTTCTTCACTTAAATGACTTTGAAAAATGCCTCTAAAATCATTTTAAACAATCAAAAACAAAGTATTTTGACAAAAGCTTTCTCAAACATGTTTTTAACTGATATAGTTTTAAAAGAACCGATTAAAATCATTTAGAATGTTCAAAGAAGTGTTTTTACAGTATTTTAATCGATACAACTTGATTTTAATCGATTAAATCCATTTAGAATTCATTATGATCGATCAGACTTGAATTATGAGCAATCAGAATTTTTTCAATCGATTAAAACACGTTTCAATCGATTAAAATCACTTAAAGGTTCAGGATGATCGATCAGAATGCAATTATGACCGATCAGAATCAGTTATGATCGATCAGAATTGAGTTATGACCGATCAGAACTCTTTCAATCGATTAAAACACGTTTTAACCGATTAAAACAACTTGGAAAAATTATGTACAGAGTTTTAATAGATTAAAACCTATTTTTATCAGTTAAAATAACTTGAAAAGTTTTACAAGAAAGTTTTGCAGTATTTAAATTGATTGAATCGCGAAACAATCGATTAAATAAACTTAGAAGATTTTCTGTAAAGTGTTTTAACTATTATAAACGTTGTCGTATCAGTTAAAACAAATCTGTTAAAGAATCAAGAACGTATTAATGGATTAAAAGGACTTTTAACAGATTGAAACGGCTCTTTTAACCGATTAAACAGATATTTTAACAGATTAATTAATGCAGCAGTTTTGAAA